AGTTAAATAATTAATTATTAATAATAATAATTAATAATAAATAATTATAATTATAATCAAGTTAAATAATTTAGAAAATTCTGGAACAAAAGAATTGGCCCAGAGTGGGACTTGAACCTAGAACTGCCACTTTCCATGCAGATAAGTTGCATTTACGTTACTAGAGCCTCCAGTCCAATCTCCTCTTCCAGATATATTTAAACTTGAAATAACCATCATTCTGAAATAACCATGATTGTCTCATGGTTAAATATATCTCATATTAAAATTGCAATATAATAGCCTGATATAATCCAGTAGTAGTAAGTGTATTATATCTGTAAATTTGGCTTGTAGATGTTGGTTTATGTATAAGTTCAAATATAATCTTTAAAATCATTCAGTCCTGTTGAACAGCCTGATGATGGCTATTGAAGATGACTGAAAACATTAGCAGGTGTTTATTAAATTGATGTTTTGTTGATTTACAAAAATTCAGCATTTAAAAACAAAACACATTATTTAACAACACATTAAATACAAAACACATTGTAATGTGTTTTGTATTTAAATACTGAATCAGTTAATTTTGTGTATATTTAGTATATGTATATATGGAGTTTAATAAATCTGATCTTTGCTGTTAGACTAATTAAAATTTGAATATTGTTGTCATATATTAAAATTGCAAAAGTTATGAAAATATGATTATTTTTACTAAAAATAAAAATTATGATGCTCAAACATTTTCATGATGTAAGACTGAGTTGTAAAAGTTATTAATGTTGTAAAAGTCATTAATATTTTCAAAGTAAATATTTAATGACTGTCTTTCATTAATCATATTTGAACCTATGCAAATTTGTCTTAATAATTGCCAAATTATGAAGAAATATGGGAATTAAAAGCTCTAAAAATCTATAATCCAGTGAGTTTTTTAAAATATATGCAAACGTTTTCATCTGTGTTGAACAGGCATCATCATGCCTCCAACCCTGGCATTGATATGGAATTTGGTAGTGTGTGCCTCTTACATAGTTCTTCCAGGCAATCCTATCTCAAACATCTTGAGCAGATGGAAATATATAAGGCCACCCGCAGTAACACCACTATTAATTTTTGCAATGTTAATTCCTTCCCCACAGCATGGAAATCTTGCTTCAAACTATAAATCTTACTATCCATTCCCTCTTCTTTCCCCCATCTTACATCACCTCCCCTCTGCACACATGTACGGCAATCCCCTGTTGTTTCAGCAGCTGGGGATTAGTTTGCCTAATGATGCTCGTTCAACACAGGGAAAATGTTTGCACATATTTTTAAAAATTGGTGGATTATATGTTTTTAGAATTTTTAACTCAAGTATACCTAGTTTTGAGTATGAAATTTGGGAATATTGTAAATGCAACATGTAATCAACCAGTAATGGTATTTGTTGGCATTATTTATTATTTTATCTAAATTTAGGTCTCATAATTTATTGTGACAGAGATTTATTGTTCTTTCTTTTTCAATGTGCAATGATGGAATTTTTTCTAAAGTACAAAATCCAACAGTCAATATTCATGCACAATTCTAACATGTAAATACAGGAAAATTTAAGTCACATTTCCTAAAACTTAAGAATTGAGGACCTATAATTGTCAATTTATACAAGTTAATTATCTTATATTTTACATTTTCATATTTCATTTCCTATTAAAGTTTGTTTAATAAATAAATAAATATGGTACCTATATACCACAATTTACAGTATTTATTAATTTTACATTGTTTTCCTAAATTTGAATAGCAGCTTCATCTATTATTTGAGGGTGATTGTTATTTGAATAAAACTTGCATATAAACATATTTATGTATAAAAAGAAACATGATATAATTAAAATCTATAAAATCTGTATTTGTAATTAATATTTTGTAATGACACCAATTTCTAGAGAAAAGAACTGATAAATCTGCTGTATCTGGTGCTATAAGGTTACATATCAGTGTAGAAATTAAGGGAGAAGAGAAAGTAGCTCCATATCATGTTCAGTATACTTGTTTGCATGAGGTATGTTATTTTGTTTTTTTTTTTGTATAACATAAATTCTTAAAACATTTTCAATGAATCAATTAAATATCAATAAAATAACAATTTTTATTCTTTAGAATCTTTTCCATTACCTTTGTGAACAAAATGGAGGAGTTGTAAAATTGCCAGAAGCCAAAGGAGTAAGTAGTTCAGTAATATATGAAAAATCACCATTTTTATGTATTACTTATAGGGAGGTGATCATTTATCTAATTATCTAGCATTATCTTTTAAATAAATAAATTATTTACAAAGTTTTATTGTTATTTATTCTTATTTGCTATACTTTTCAACATACACATGTTAATTTATAGGATGATGCGTGGAAAGTATATTTTGATCAACCCACTCAAGACATAGTAGATGAATTTGCCATGAGATATGGCATTGAGTCAATTTATCAAGCAATGACGTAAGTTAATTAATAGTGATTACACTTCTGTAAATAAATTATTTCAGAATAGTGGAAAGGAAAGAAATATAAATTTATTTAGTTTTTTTTCTTTTAAATTTTTATTTTCTAGAATATAAAGTCATATAACTATATATTTTACTGAAATAATTAAAGTTTGTAAACTACATAAATTCTAAATTAAAATTTTAATTGAACAGAACAAAAGAACAATATTACAGAGTTTTGTAACACTATCCTTTTATTCTGTTTGATTGATCTGAAGATGGAATATAGCAATCTCAAAAAACTTTTAATCAAATAAAACTTTTTTGGATTTCTTGATATTAATTGCTAATAAATTCTTTAATTTAATCTTTAATTAAATAGTATACTCAATAAGCTAAAGCGATAAATATTGTACATGATATTTTGTGCACTGTAACATATAAATAAAATTTTAAACACATCAATGTAAAAAAATAATCAAATTTATTAATTTACAGATTCTTTTTTTCAAGTAGCATTCAAATTAATTGTTAAATTCAAACAAAATCAATAATGATGCATTAAACAATAGCTGTAATAACAGTGTAAAAAAATGTTAAATAATTTGTAAGATGATATGTTTATTTTTGAAGTTAAGACAATGCAGAAAATATATACATTTTCAAGTCTATGTTTTACCCATTTTCCACCAACCACAAAAGTAACAGTTACAATTACTTGAAGAAAACTTTATAAAAAGAGAAATAATAAATAAAAAAATTTTCACAAAGTTAAAATTGATAAGGCTGACATTTGATATCGTTTTTAACTTTGTGAAAATTTTTTTATTTATTATTTCTCTTTTTGTAAAGTTTTCTTCAAGTAATTGTAACTGTTACTTTTGTGGTTGGTGGAAAATGGGTAAAACATAGACTTGAAAATGTATATATTTTCTGCATTGTGTTAACTTCAAAAATAGAAGATATCCAGAGTTGTGTAACCATATGTTATGTATACTGAATTATGTTAAAATATTTCAATTGTTTCTGAAGAAAATATTAAACCATTGCCTACTTTGCTTGAATGTATTTAAATTTTCTGGTTCCAACTTTTATATTTATTATTCTGGAATGTCACTTCAAAAATCCTTAATCATAAATGAGAAAGTACTTTTGTAAACAAACACTGATCTCTTTAAAACTTTATTTTATGCTAAATAAATATTTTTCAAATTATTATTAGAATTTATAAGAAGAAATGTATACTAAAGATTAGTGTCCACAGAAATTCACTAACAAAAGTAAAATGCAAAAAGTGAGTTTTCTTTTCCATAAGTTAGCAAGTTTTGTTCTTACTAGCATTTTGTGGGATGAGAATAACAAAAAGCATAGTCAATAAATTGCAAGTGAAGGTAAACATCATTCCAGCAAGGTGACTGATAATAATGAGTTGTGAGTTGCTAATAATGCTAAAATCTTGCATCTGTTTATTAAAAAGAAAGAAAGAAGTAACTAAACAAAACAAAAATGGAGCTTATATATAATGTACATACTGGATAACTATAATATGAATAAACCACACCTTTAACAATCCAGCAAACAAAATTATTTTAGTAACATAAAAACGTTTTTGACCGTTTTTTTAACAATCTTCTTCAGTTAACATAAAATAGAACACTAAAATAGAACGTAAATATGAAAATAAAAATTCTGAGATAAAAATAAATAATGGAAAATGTAGTTGTGGTTGATAAAATAAAATAAAATTAAAATAAACAATGTCTCTTAATAACATTAATTCTCATAAAAAGACCGCCATGCAGTAGCTAATGTGCCCACATCTCTATGGTTAATGCAATCAGTTCTCGTGTGTAAATTTGTTGTTAGTTTAATTATTGCTGCTTGATCCCAATGGACTTGAATGTCCTGTTGTCTTGCATAAGCTGATAGTGTGGTGTTGTCGAGGTTCTTATTAATCATATATTTATGCTTCATGAGTCGATGTTGCAAGTTGCACATTGTTGTGCCCACATAGACAAGTTCAGAATCAAAACGTTGATCGTGTAATGGTACAGAGTACAGAGTAGATTCCTGTGGCTGAGTTCCAATCATATTGTTTTTTATCGTTTCTTAAGAGCTTAAAAATTATAGGATTGTGTCGATATACTACTTGGAAATTATTAGTCATGGCCTCATTTTAAGGCAAATACATAAAAAGGCGGCCAAGACTAATAATTTCCAAGTATTATATCGATGCAATCCTATAATTTTTAAGCTCTTAGGAAACGATAAAAAACGATATGATTGGAACTCAGCCACAGGAATCTACTCTGTACCATTATACGATCAACGTTTTGATTCTGAACTTGTCTATGTGGGCACAACAATGTGCAACTTGCAACATCGACTCATGAAGCATAAATATATGATTAATAAGAACCTCGACAACACCACACTATCAGCTTATGCAAGACAACAGGACATTCAAGTCCATTGGGATCAAGCAGCAATAATTAAACTAACAACAAATTTACACACGAGAACTGATTGCATTAACCATAGAGATGTGGGCACATTAGCTACTGCATGGCGGTCTTTTTATGAGAATTAATGTTATTAAGAGACATTGTTTATTTTAATTTTATTTTATTAAGTGACATTTTCGGTTTAATTTATAATATTTTATCAACCGCAACTACATTTTCCATTATTTATTTTTATCTCAGAATTTTTATTTTCATATTTACGTTCTATTTTATGTTAACTGAAGAAGATTGTTAAAAAACCCTGTCAAAAACGTTTTTATGTTACTAAAATAATTTTGTTTGCTGGATTGTTAAAGGTGTGTTTTATTCACAAAAATGGAGCATTACTTATTTCATTCAAAAATTGTTTCACATTATTGGTTTCATGCTACCTTATTTGTTGCCATTTTGAATTTTCTCTCTCTGTCAAGGAATTCAGTCTTATAAGTTCTGATTGGGTGGGAATATTCTTTGCTAATAGAAAAGTTTAGCATATTGGATTGCTGGCACAATTCACTAAACTGAAGCATTTGCTGGAAATGACATCACTAATAACATGAAATTTGTTTCATGTTTTGCTTGCAAATTGCACTCAGTGTGAACTAACCTCTATAATTTCAAAAATTGAGCAACATCTATTATACTTAACTATGTCTTTTAAATAAATTTAAATATCTTAAAGTATCTTGAGAGAAGTTTTGGATTGTTGTAATGTTAAAATTTATCTAACAAAAAAAAAGACAAAACTATTTTTAAATATCTATCTTAATAAAAGAGAGAAATCAAATTGAATTGTAAAAATATTAATGTCTACAATTATTAATTTTATTACATAATTAATTAATAATGGAAAAAGTTTTTGTAAAATTTATTAATGTAAATAAAAATAATATCTCAAATTATATAAAGACAAGATTTAGAAAAACTATATTACTTTTGTTTTGAAATCACCTAGGATGATAAAGAACATTAGTGACAGTCAGAAATTTTTAATAATTTTTTGATTTGTTAAAATATATATTAGTGTTATTAATTTTTATTTAATTTTCTGATAGACACTTCCACTGCCTTTCAACAAAATATATGTGCCAAGGAGTTCCAGCTGTAATGAGCACATTGCTGGCAAATATTAATGCTTACTATGCACACACTGCTGCTTCCTCTGCAGTTTCTGCAAGCGATAGGTTTGCTGCATCAAATTTTGGAGTAAGTCATTCTGATGAAATATTCAGATTTAAAATTAAATTGAAATATTTTTATATTAAGATTTTTATGTAGTTATTAATAGTTGATTTTATTGGTTGTATAATAATTTAAAGTTAGATTTGAATTCTATTTTTAAAAAAATTTATACCATATAACTATAACCAAGCCAAAAGTTACAATGATTACCAAATAGTTTAATGAAATTCATCTTTAAATGTCTTTTGGCTAGACTAATATTGAATAAGCAAGAGTTTACTTGATACTAGTGGCATCCTTGTCAATTTTCAAATTTTGCTTGTAATTTGAATTTGAAATTTTATTAAACTTTATTGCATTATATGTTAATATAAATTGTTAGGGAGCAATAAAGATATTTTTACATTTTGTTTATAAACTAATGGATTATACACAAACATTAATATTATGTCGTTCTAACATCAGTTTGGTTAAGAATTATCAAACTGATATTTTTTAGATCATGATTAGATCCAAACAACTTCATAGCAGAATATACATTTTATCATGTCAATGCTTTTGTTATAAAAGATGGAAACATTTCCTGTGACTGATGATGATTTTTAAATATTTTTGATATTTAATGTGTGTGATTATCACACACATTATATATATATGATATGATATGAGATATGATCATTTATCATGAACAGATATGTGAACATGTAAAATCATATACACATAAAAGATCTTTTGTAATACCTTATATATGTTCTTTGGAGTGTTCTTGGAATGTATATAAGTTGTTATAAAAGAAATAGACAACACAGCATTGACAGTTTTTACTAACTTTGAAATTATAATGGTTAATTAGAAAAAATGTGATGTTAATCAGAGATGCTGGAAACATTTGGCCATTTTTGTTCATAATTAGATCTCATTTAATTCAGTAAATTTGGTTCACTGAGTTATATAAGATTTATAATATTAATGCAAGGGATTGTGACATTTTATCTTAGCATGACAAATTTATGATGACATGCAATTGATGGTTCACATAAATTTTTTTTATATTTAGATCACTCAATACTATCATTTATTATTTATACCAGATCAAAATTTAATTCTATTTAATTTTGGTGGAATTCTCTTAAACTTAAATGTATGGAGTCTTCTTTCTGATGACTAGTCTTGATGTAGAAATGATGTAGTCTTGATCGTCTGCTTTACTGTTTCATAGAAATTATGTAATTTGAGGAAGGGTGATAAAGCAAGCCAGAAATGTTAGTTTTTAATTAAATATTCATTTGAGGATTGAAGGTTCTTTCTTCTAACAAAATATTGTAAAGCCTATAACTGAAAATATCACTAATTACAGTCAAACTCTGTTTATTCAGATTTCCAGAATATCCAGATTAGTTTGTATAGTCATTTTTTTTTAAACTTTTACATACTTTTGTAGAAAAATTATTTTTTGTGATATTTGTGAGATCACTGAAACATTGTTACATGGATACTATATATATTAAGGTTGTAAATACAGTAATCTCACATTTGTAAGAATAATAAAACTATATATTGTTTGTATGTACTGAGTAATTTTTGTTCTGTTTATATAATAATAATGTTCTTGTGGCGTAGTAAACACTAGTATTGTGTTTTATTCCAAAGACACATGGCAAGTTTTGGTGTGGAAGGTGAAAAAGGGGGAGGAAACAGCTAAAAATTTTTACAGTTGTATTGCATCAAAATTTACCTAAAAGGGAAGATTTTAACTTTTTAATTTGTAATATATACTAGTTTATTTACAAAAGATTAAAGCTGATTTTACATGTTTTTAAATTATACAAAGTGTAACCAAAAGGTACAGTACATCTATATATCGTTTATGTACTCATTGTTTTATGTAAATTCTCTACTGTAATAAGTTAAAAAATATATATTATATTTTAGTTGACTGAAGAGGGGCAAAGCCCAAAATGAGTACAAAACAATGTACTGTATCGACTCAACTAATAAAGGAATTTGATGGAAAACTTGCCATGTGTCTTTGGAATAAAACACAATACTAGTGTTTACTACACCACAATTATAAAACAGGACACGGTTTTAAAAAACAAATTAATGTTCTTATTAATGTTAATAGATGTTCATGAATTGTATTTATTTTTTATTATTTAATAGCGATTTTTATATTTAATTTTATATGATTTTATTGTACATTGTTAATATTTTATATTTTTTTGAATAGAAAGAAAAATTTGTTAAACTTCTGGACCAACTTCATAATTCTCTCAGGATAGATCTCTCCATGTATCGCGTAAGTATTCAAAAAATTTTATTAAAATACATTCAAATTTTCAAACTGTTTTAAAATCAATACTGAAAAATTATTTTAAATGTTTTCAGAATAATTTTCCGGCCTCAAGTTCAGAAAAACTTCAGGATTTGAAATCCACTGTAGATCTTTTAACGAGCATAACATTCTTCAGAATGAAGGTAATATATTGTTGGTTATTTGTATGACTAACTACAGTAGAGCATCGATTATCCGACCCCCGATTAACTATCAAATCGGTTAACCGACCGTTCTAGTTGGCAAATTTCAAATGTCCACTAGTGATGTGGCACTACAATATTTGGGTATGTCTTGGTTACTTTAATATTATTTTTGTTAAATTTTTGTGTGTTTTAGCTGGCAACATGGCTCGAGCATCAAAGGGCAGCCAGTATTTAAACAAGACTTAATTTTCTAATTAAGTCTTTATGAATTAAGTTTTTATTTTTAATTAGTTTTATTAAGTCTAAAAAGTTTTATTAAGTCTAATTAAGTTTTATGAATGGTTGTTTGTTTTGTGAGCAATAAAATAATTTAAAAATAATTTTTAACGATACGATAGCGACGATTATTATTTTAAAAAAATTTGTTAGGCTTAACATCGATGAAAATTCAATGCGAAGTTGGTTATAGCAATATACTAATTACATGGGATATACTAATATACTATACTAATAATGAATTTTTTTCATTTTTTTCAGTTATCTGACCAACCTGAGTCCCCAATTGAGTCGGATAATCGATGCTCTACTGTATATTTGAATTTTATTTCTTTTTAATAACATTTGATTATAATTGTAAATCTCCATTCCAGAATCTTAGAAAAACATGAAATTTAAATTCTAGTTCAAAACATAAATAACAATATTTGAAACAATATTTACTTTTTGATTGTATTGTTAATATTCATAATTAAAAATTTAATTTCTAAAGTTCATTTTTGTCATTTCAAAATTATTAATACAATTCATTGCAATTGAAATATTGAAACATAAAGAATAAAAAATAAAGATTTTACAATATATAAAATCAATATTTTACAAAAGGGCTTGTATAATTAATTAAATATATTAAATATATACAATTTTATGTTCATTTATGTATAAACTATTTTTATCTAAAAATATTTTTTTAATTTAATTTTAAAAAAATACTATATAATTATATTTTTAAGAAGACTATGTCTTGTTTATAAAATCATACTGCCTGCTGGGTAACCAGCTTAGAGTTATGAAGGAGTACATGTCAGGAGTTGCAATTTGGCACAGAGTATTAGGTGCCCAAATCATGTGCGCATAAAAAAAACAGACTTGTAGGTACTCAGGGGACCGAGAATCGAGTCAAAATAAAATTCAAAATGGCGATACTCTCTACAAACAGGCAGTAGTGTGAGATTTGTGCATGCATTGCTCATTGGAAATGCGAACGTTGCAAAATCGAATTTTGACAAACATTGGGAAGTTTCAAATGAGAAATCGAATTTTGACAAACGAATCTTTGAAAAAATAACCCATTTACCTGTCCTGTGTTATTCCCAACGTATCTCTGGTTGCGACATGCTGACCATGACCAGTTGACCTGAGATATCTCATTTCAGCATCAGAATCTTTTTTTGAAGTAGATGGCACTAGTTGTTATAATTTATATTAAAAGTAACTTTTGAAATATAATTTGTTTTTTTCTACATTTATTAATATATACATTGTTTGTGCAAAAATTCAANAAATAAAAGATAATTTCAAATGATACAATAGCTAGGATTATTTTTTTCAAAAATGGGAAATTTTTGTTAGGCATCGACAAAAATTCAACCCGGGGGATACACAATGTTGAGAAATTTCGAAATTGGAAAGGTTAATTTCACTGAAAATGCATTATGGACGATCTCATGGTCATAGCTGGCAAAGTTTGAAAGATCACGCTCAAAACCAGCGATACCAAAGATGATTGGAGAACAAGACCCACCTTGAGTGTCAAAGTGATTCCATTTAGTAGTGCGTCTCCGAGATGTAGTCTTGTCCCAAATACGGCTTTGCCATTTTACTTGTTCATTATATAATTTAAATATTTCATAATGAAAAATAGTAGAATTATCTGTAAAGACAATATTTAAAAATAAATGACCAGTTATTGAATAATACAAAAGATATCTTAAAAACTTGTATTTTGAAGACATTAATTGCTTCTTAATAATAAAATAATAATTACAATTAATTATTATAGTCTGGTAATTAAATTACTGTCACAAAATAAATTTTCTACATGAAATAAATCATACATGCAAGCTAGTATTGATACACAATTCTGAATACAGCTAATAATTAAATAATAAATTCTAAATTTAAACTGATACTAAAGTTGATAATTTATATTAAATACTGGAAGTAAATTATATGATTTTTTAAAGTGACAATAATAATATAACAACAAATTTCATATGGTATTACTTTCAACAATCATATTGAGAACACATTAAGCCAACCAAACTAACTGTTTAATAACTACAGTAAGTCTTAAGCATATATTACTGAAAATATTTTTTCAGTAAGATATTCTTTCAATATCTTACTGAATATCTGTTCTTTATTTAAGAAGGTTATGATAAATATATTAAATTTTAGAAAATATTATTTAAAAATTTGTGTTTACAGTATATTTCTTTTCAGTATTTAGATTAATTTCTTAAATATGTTTTTATTTTATTGTTTTTAAAATTATAACTTCTAACTGAAAATATATTTTACAATTCATTGCATTATGAAATATTTTACAAACTATTTATTGTTATCATTACCCATTATAATTGTAAACTTTACAAGAAACAAGTGATTAAAAAGGAAAAGTGTAGAACTCTCAGAGATCAAGAAATTTATACAAAAATCTAAAATAGAGCATGGTTTTGTAATGTTCTTAAATGATATATACAGTAAATTTACCAGAAGAATTCATCCAAAAAAAATATACCAGATAATTAATAATAAAGATGATAAAGCAACTTAAGTAATTATCAAAAAATTATTAAAATATTTTTGTTTTATCCAAGTTGATATTAAAAAACAGTTACATACTTGATGATTCTGGAATGAAGATGGTTCTATTGTGTATTGAATTTGTTATCAATCTGAGCATTTTCTCCTTCAGGTACAAGAACTTTCCAGTCCACCTCGTGCCAGCACGGTTGTAAAAGATTGTGTTAAAGCTTGTCTGCGTGCTACATACCAATTCTTGTTTGAGAATTGCTATGAATTATATTCAAGAGAATTCCAAGTAGAGCCACAAGAACAAAAATCTAAAGACGGTTCAAATCAAATGGGTGCTGATGATCACGGACCTAGCTTACACAATCTTGATTTTTGGCACAAGTTAATTGCTCTGATGGTATCAGTTATAGAAGAAGATAGAAACAGTTATACACCTATATTGAATCAGTAAGTATAATGTGATTAAATAAACTCATTGACAAAAAAATGTTATGCATCCATATAGATTGTCTAATTATGGAAAAACTGTGTACTGTTATGTCTCAAACAAGTGTGTAAATGATTACAGTTGTGATCCAATTACATTCCAGGTAACATCACCATAGTCCTTAACATTGCTACCCCAGTATTCTATAAAATGGCTTGCAGAGACTCTTCACAATGTGCATAATTTTTAGTGTACCTGTGAGGTCTGTAAACACTAAGCATGTCTCTATGGTGTAGTCAAACATATTATACCAGCTGACAAAATTTAAGAAAGACTGCATCACCAAGCATAGAGAAGCAATCTGGCTGTTTTATCAAAATCCTCACCATCTAAATCATTCTGACCTGACTGTGAGGTGGTGTTGGGGACAGTGGATACATTAGGGCACACACATTTAAATTTTAATTTTCTTTTACTCAAAAACTTTTCAATAGAAAAATTATTGTAATTAAAATGAATCTAATTTTATTTTCATTCATATTAAATACATAAATATTAATGTTGTTATTGTGTTAATATAGGTTTCCACAAGAGCTCAATGTTGGACAACTCAGTGCTGCCACCATGTGGAGTTTATTTGCAGTTGATATGAAATATGCTCTAGAAGGTAAGTATTATAGATGTAAATGCATTCATTGCAAGAATTCATTATAAACTAATCAAAATTTATTATTTATATTATTTTTTTAAGTAAAAATTGTTTTGTCATACTAGAAAATGGTTCAATAAATTCAAATAAAGAATACATTTCATAATTACATATAAAATTAAAGTTTAATTTAAGCATAATGAAATATTTTTGATAACTTCTCTACCTTTTTTTTAATGTCTTTTAGAGTATAGTCAGTTCCATATTTATGAACTCCAGACTTATTACAGCAAAAACTAGTGTATTAAAAAATTGTTTTTGCATCTAAACAATCAGTTGTATTTATTAATGTCGGTTAAATGTTAAAAGTAATGCTTTAACGTGAAATTTACACACACTATATGGTGCATATGGACCATAATACAATGCAACAAGTAAAACAGCAAAGCCATTCTTGAGATGAGACTATGTCTCAGAGAGTGCGAGCAACACGTGCAAATCTTGCACTCACGCCTGTTTGTAGAAACAGTCTCAGTATTTTGTATTTTATTTTGACCTGGTTTTTAGTTCCCTGACTACCTACAAATCTAGTTTATTATATGTGTGCATGATTTGGGCACCAAATACTCTGTGCCAAATTGCAACTCCTGACATATACTTCTTCATACCTCTAAGGTGTGCAGCTGTTGATAGCAGTGCAATTTTAGAGATGAGACTGTAACTGTATATATATTATATAGGATAGGTTGTGTATACTCAGCTTTGGGAACCATATTCCATTATCATTATTTTTTTGCCTGTTTGACCAATTCAACTTATAATGAGAGTTTCAGATATACAAATGATTTATCATCACATTTCTTCTTTTTTATAGGTTTATTAATCCACTCTTATAACTATGCTTTGCATATAATTTTATATGTACAGAGTGTTTATAATTAAAGTTCCACTTTGAAATGGCCATAAAATGAAAACTACTGGACAGAATGTTATCAAACTTGGTAATAGTGTTCAGGACTTCATGGGATTTTATTTCCCATGAAAAAAAAAAGTTCAAAAGCTCACCACCAATGGGAAATGGTGCTCTCTACAATATTGTTAAACGAAATAAGACATGAAGACCTCGTTGAAAATTTTTTTAATTGGTTTTAAAACAAAACTGTTTGTGGGGTTACTCCTGATATGCTAAGATATACTGTTGAGAGCACAGTAATGCAATGTAACTTGCTTATCAAAAATGGTGGACACCACATTGAACATGCTCTGTAACACGTTTTAAAACTGATTAAAAACATTTTCAATGATGTCTTTGTGTCTTATTTTGTTTAACAATATTGCAGACAGCACCATTTCCCATTGGTGGTGAGCTTTTGAACTTTTTTTTCAAGGAAATAAAATCCCATGACATCCTGTACACTATTACCAAGTTTGATAATATTCTGTCCAGTAGTTTTCATTTTATGGCCATTTCAAAGTGAAACTTTAATTATAAACACACTGTATTTATAGCATGGTAATTGATGTTTCAAATTATTTCTTTTTGGTAAAGACATCAAGGCATAAATAAAATAACAATATTGAATTTTATTTCCATTTATTGTACAAAGTATGTTTTGCATTTCTTTGGTACACTTATTTTGCAAATAACTGAAATTGTTTGTGATAACATAGTAAACAATATAACATTTAATATAATAAACAATTTTTTAAATAGCAATATAACCTAGATAGGACCATTGACATAGAGCATATTCCACTTTGTCATGTCATTTCATTCACAACAGCACTTACAATTCATAGCAATAGTTCAAAATATTTCATAGTAGAAAATATGGAATTTATATTTCCACAGAAATTATAAATATTTTAACAGACAGTACTATCCTGGATTGCCAAAAATTATGTTGTGATCAAGTTGTTAGTCATGCCTGCATAAGCAATGTAAAGTTTTGCTGGAATTCCAACAGATATACTTTAATAAAGGTTTAAATTTTAGATGTATATTTCCAGCTGTATCTTGAGTTTTATCTTGTATTATGTTCACATAAGCTGTCATAGATCCTGACAGAAATTACAGGAATTAGTCAAAATCATATATATGATACAGTTTTTATTTTTGTTCATCAATCCATTTATATTTATTTCTTTAAATTTTTAAACTTTTTACATAATTTTTTATTACAAATGGATTTTTCATTCATTTTATTTCTTTTGATGACTTATTTTATTTTATTTGTTGCCTTCTGTGTTTCTGTTCCTTTGTATTGTAGCATAGTGTCAAGATATGATGATAAGACAAAAAATGGATTATTTTTGTTGTCTTAATATCAGTCTTTATCATTACTATTTTATCAAGCTGTCATTAAGCCATTGTTACTAGCTCAGTTTTAATTTAAAATTGGATTTAATCACCTATTTATTAATTCATGTAATATGATATTTATTCATGAACAGAAGTGGTAGAGGACATAATGATAACATTTTCTAATTCTGAATAAAATTTTCAAATGTGATAATGCACAAAGCGCCCCCCCCCCATGCTTCAGCATCACGGGACCAAGGGGTCGACATTGCATCGGCGAAGACTGCAATGTCTAATTCGTCAGGACTGACACCACTGTGTCTTCTGGGTAGACACAGAGACCATTACTTTTGTCGTTACATGCGAATGGTCATGTCTGTGGGTGGTCGGACTCGGGATGGAGACCAATTGGCCTAAAGAAGTGCACTTTACAATTCAGTTATAGAAAATAATACCCATTTATTGATTATATATAAACTAGTTACACATATGCTTCAAGAGAGAGAGAGAGTGAGTTTACAAACATTCACACATGGTATTTACATGAAGATCGCTCTCTTGATTTGGGTCCTTTTTTTGGTGGAGACACATCCTTGGTGGGTACTTGGGGTCATTGGCTATCGGCAGTTAAGCTTCTGATCACTGGCTATTGGAGGAGCATCAGCGGCAAAGTGTATCCAAGTGTACTGTACACACATGACCAACCTTCAATGTGGATGAACTCTTCTCCTTTATTTGGGGGTCCTTCCCCTCACAACTCTTGGCCTTTTTTGGTAAAATCATCCTTCATGTCCAATGACGATTTTTGCATTTGATTCCTAGTGACACATTAGATGTGTCACCCCCAAACAAGGAAGCAAGCCCATGGGAAAGGATATAATCATATCCGTAGTGATTTTTTTTTTTCCAAAAAATTTTTTGAATAAAATTTTCCTGTAAAGTCTGGCCCTCACACAAATATTCTACTGGAAAATATTTTTATATCTTTACAAAACACTGTTGTGTTTGTAAATGATAATAAATGTTCATTTTTTGTGAAATTACATAATAAACACAGATTAAATACAAGGTGCGTTCCATAAATAATGCGACCAAATTCATAAAAAATCATTTATTGAACATATTCTTACAATTAGTCAAAAATCTTCGAAATAGCACCTTCCTTCATCAATACACTTGTGAAGGCAGTGTTTCCGGGCCTGGAAGGCATTCTGGAAGGCCTTCTCCGGAATGTCCTTTAGAGCTGATGTAACATAACCCTTTATGTTTTCAATCGTGTCCCAATGTTTCCCTTTTATGGCCCCTTTTAAGTGAGGAAACAAAAACAAGTTGGCGGGAGCCAGGTCAGGACTGTAAGGTGGCGGTGGAACCAATGGGGTGTGGGTCCTGGCCAGGAAATCATTGATAGTGAAGGCGCTGTGGCTTGGTGCGTTGTCGTGATGAAGTTTCCGTGTGGCCTTGATGTCACTTCGGCAGCGCGTGACTAGGATTTCAGTCTTTTGAACACTTCCAAGTAGAAAGCTGCATTTACAGTGGTCCTGACAGGTACGAATTTGTGGTGGTTAATGCCTCTGACGTCATAGAAGACAATTCGGGAGGTTGATGGACGTCCACTGCGGGGTTCGTCGGTGACCTTCTCTTTTCCATCCTTGAACGACTTGTGCCATCGAAAGACTTGTGATTTGGAGAAGCAATCACTCCCAAACGCCTTCTGAATTAATGTAAAAGTTTCGGTGGTGGACTTCCCAAGTTTAACGCAAAATTTGATAATGTAACTTTGCTCCACAAAATGATCCATCGCTCTGTGTTACATTAACTCAAAACAAGGTTCACGGGAACGGATGTCTTCACACGCCAGCAGCTTGGAGGCAAACAAGACCAGGCGAGTTTTGAAGCTAACACTTCACATCACCTAACACAACAGGTTAGAACTAGCTACGGCATATCATCATATCATGAAAAAAATCAGTTGCATTACTTATGGAATGCACCTTGTATGTGTTTTTAATTCATTTTGAAATAGAATTAATGGACATTGTTATACTTTTGGCTCAAAAATCGAATCCTAATACCAAATTTATTAAAATGTTTTTTGAACTGAATAAATTTATTAAAATGTACATTTTGAAACTTAATCAAAATTTAAAATAAATGATAAAATATAATCTGTCATTTTTCATAAACTTTTTATTAAATTTTTGTTATATGACAGCAATAACATTTATTGTACTTTCTTTGTGTAATTAAAGAATTGATTGTACTGTATTCTAAAATTATATAAAGTAATAACTGTAGTTAAAATATACTTTAATTTTACTTTATTTATTAGAATATTAATTACTGATAATTAATAAATGAAAACTTTTTTAATTTTAGAACATGAACAACACAGGTTATGTAAAAGTTCTGCCTACATGAATTTACATTTTAAAGTGAAATGGTTTTACAATAATTATGTAAAGGATGTTCCACCGTATAAAGACACAGTACCAGAATATCCATCGTAAGATAATTATTTATATGTTAGTTTTTATGTTATAATAAATATATCCATTATAAAATTAAAAAGTCATAAATTTTATTTTATTTGCTTCATAAATTTATATAGCAGTTTTAATATATATCCATCTATTGTAAAGCCAAATGGAATTAAATGCAAAAAATTATATTTTATAATATACTTTAAAATAGAAATAATAGCTTAATTTGGTGTGTATAAATTATAAATCTGAAGAAGATTTTAAAAATTTTACATCCTCTTCAGGTTTTAAAGTAAATTTATAAAATACGGTTTAATAGATACTATTTTGATAGCTATTAGCAGTCAAGATAGTATTAAGTGAAAAATATTTCTCTAGGGGGTGCTCTGTAAAATTTTAAAATATTGCCACTATTTCACCAGTTTTTAATTATTTTGTCACTTCAAATTATTCATTATTACCAGTTACTTACTAATTAATGCAGGTGCTGGTAGCAATATTAGTTTGGCATCTGGAAAGCAAAAGTAACATGTTAAACTGTCACTAACAAGAAGAGGGCCAGATGTTTGGGTTTCTGATTCAAACAAAATTTGGTGAGCACATAACCCTAAACACAAACAGCTCCTTGTCCAAATGATAGGACCCACTTTTCAAGCATGTTCAAAAATGGTCCACTGAAAATTTAGCGTTTAGCTTATAAGTTTTTGAAGTTTCATATCCAATAGTTGAGTGAATAAGACACTAGGTACTGGAGCTAGACAATGTAGATTTGAACCTTTGAGATTTTAGTTTAGTTCTTTTTTATGTGTTATTATTTTATTAATTTATCACATTATTATTACTATTATTCATTACATTTAAAGCTTATAAAACAAGAGATTAAAAATTGTGACATCATTTCCTGCTTAAGGAAAAAATCCTCCAGATTTAATTCTTATGTTGTTAGATGAAATTTTCTTCATATTTATTTTCAGATATGATGGTATAGTAACATTTGACATGTAACAAACATGAATGCATTAGGAAAGTGTCCCTAATATTAACAATGAAAAAAATAAAATGCTGCAACTATGTTACCCTATTTTCATATCGCTTGTCTTTTTCCTCCACATACAGTAACATCTGAAGCTTATTCACTTGTGAGGATATAGTGTGTAAAATATGTGGAAATAAATATCAAGAAATAAAAGTTTTATTTAACGATGTAAAGGAGTTAAATCTACAAAAGCTTTTTTTCACTAAACAGGAAATGATGTCACAATTTTTGATCTCTTGTTTGCTTTAAACATGAGGAATAATAGTAATAATAAGGCTAATGATATGATAAAATAATAAAGTTACATATAAAAAACTAAATTAAACTAAAACTAAAACTCCAAAGTTCAAACCTACATCATCTAGCTCCAGTACCTAGTGTCTTATTCGCTTGGCTATTGCAGCTCCTAGGACTTGAAACTTCTAAAAACTTATAAGCCAAACTTAAATTTTCAGAAGCCCAATTTTTGGAAACACTTGAGAAGTGGGTCCTATTATTTGGATAAGGAGCTGTTAATGTTTAAGGCTGCATGCTCACGAAGTTACATTTGAATCAGAGTCTTGAATGTTTGGCTCTCCCCTTGTTAGCAATAGGAATTATTTTTGAATAATTTTTTCACTTTTTATAACCATATAAAAGGGGTTTTTGGACAAATAAACCAAAATGTTTGTCCTTTGAATCCAATGTTCACTCAAGTTTAAGAATTACTGAGAATTAAATCATCTCATTAATTCTTGAACTTGGGTGAACATTGGATTCAGATTCAAAGGCTATTTCATTTTATTTGTTTGAAAAACCCCTTTTAAGTGATTATAAAAGTGGATGATTATAGTCAGAAAATATTGCTATTTTTAGCTTTGTATTGAATAATTTTTTAATGAATAATTCTGAATAACACATTTGATCACAATGTTTAAACAGTATTTCACAAGTTTTGTTGTGTCAAAATTTTCGTTTTAGTCTACTGAAAAAAGATCAAAATGAAAAAAGTCCCCAATCTGGAAATGCTGGGTGGCATTGCACAAAACTGCCTTCGGTTCTTGATGCCAGTTTCTACTTTTCTGCCTGAACTAACCATGTGATGTCATGAAATCACTGAATGTATGGTGCACAGAACTCCCATTGTACAGAAGCTTGACATTTTGCTGTTTTTTCTGAAGTGTGATTTGTGATTCAATTTTGCACTGAATGTCACAATAAATAATTTTTCATTAATGTTAGTTTTTGTTTGAATCAACCAGGGGTAGAATTGAATACTTTTTTAATTCTTTCTGTCCTTTGGGCACTAAGAGCATCTTTTAATAAATTCATCATGGATTCATATAAGCCCACAATGGGGTGGCTGGGTAATGAGGGAATGAACCCGGCATATCCAGGATGGCTCACCCCAGAAAATTCTTGGATTTTTTGATTTATCTGGATTAACACTCTGACATAACACTCGTAAAAAGGTTTTTTGTGGATTGTTATTATCTGGATTCATTTCCCAGTTTGTGACATCTAGTATAATTAAAGATAAAAATAGAAAACTACTAAAACCTCTGCAAAATGGAAACCTGTCAAAATAGAAAAATAATTCAGTACCATGCAATTCTTGGTTACACAAATTTTACTGTATTTTCCTATTTGTTGATGGATTTCTAACAAATGTCAAATAATTATTTTATAGAGAAATCATTATGTGTGTGTCATGTAATTATTTTAATATTTTATTATAATACTTAATATACTAAATATAAAATTTAGATTAATATTGTTTTTATTTAACTTTTTAGTTGGTTTGAACCATTTGTTATGCAGTGGTTGAATGAAAATGATGATGTTTCCCTAGAATACCTCAACAGTGCCTTCCTCCGTGATAAGAAGGATGGCGTAAGTATTTTTTTTTTAAGTTTTTGTATATAAATAAAAAGTGGAATTAGTTTTAATTTTATGGGAAGAGATTTTGTTTTCTAATAGAATTTATTACAAATGAACATTATTCATATTCTAATAATACTGAGCAAAGAAAATTTATTAATTATTACAATTAATTTCAATATTGCTAAGTTAAGAATATTTTTAAAAATACATAAGAATTTCTATTTAAAAATAATAAAAATTTAATGGAAAATCTACAAATTTTCAAAATATAAAGTGATTTCAATAATATAACTTGTATAATATGAAAATTGAATTATTGTTTATTAACACACATGATGACAAACTTATTAAACTAAATTAATTTTAAATTTTAATATTTTTGTTATCTAAAGAGCTTTGTAATGATAATTTTAATTAATAAAAATAAAACTAGAGTGAAAAATTATGTTAAAATAAGTAGAAAAACCAATAAAAATGAACATTGTCTTTATGAACTCATTCTTTTCTCACCACTGTGACAACAATAAAGTCATTTGCTTCTGTAGTAGTTAAGTACAGAAGCATATGACTTTATAGATTGCTATTGTTCTTGTTGTACAAGAAGAGGGATTAACGTGAATACATTATATTTTAGTTGCTTTTTTCCTATTTATTTTATAAGTGATAATTATGTTTTTCCAAAAAAAAATGTATGAGCAAAACAGTCAGTTTATAAATGCTAATAAAATGTCTTAATCAATATATTCCTTTTGAAGAAATAAGATTGTCAATACAAGGTATCTTTGAAGAAGATTAAATTTTGAAAATGTTTACATGCATTAAAATATTACTGTGTTACTAAAAATAGAAACTCTTGAGATTTAATAAACACAGTTTATAAGAGAATATGATATATATATAATTTGTTTCAAACTTTTATAGTTCCAGCAAAGCTCAGAACATGCACTCTTCTCCAATTCTGTAGTGGATGTTTTTACTCAGCTGACTCAGTGTTTTGATGTAATTAGCAAACTAGAATGTCCTGATCCTGAAATAGTAAAGAGATATATGAAAAGATTTGCCAAGGTATAAGTGACAAATAATATAAATAATTTTAGAAAATAATTTAATAAAAAAGTAATCTTATCTTTACACATTTAAAAAATTATTATTTTTCTAGACGATAGTGAAAGTTCTGACAGCATATGCTGATATTGTTAAGAGAGAATTTCAAAATTATGTCAGTCAAGAGAAAACAGTAAGAAAAATTTGTTAAAATAATATATATTTAATATAAAATAATATAATATTTAATATATGATTATTATTATTATTATTTCAGATAATTTTAAATTAAAATATTTTAATGTATTTCCATGCTATAGTCTAAATTATGCATATAGATTTATTACATAATAAACTATTCTGACATTAAGTATCTGGTTTTGATGGATTAATGCATTACTGTATTATAGTTTATAATACATATTTAACAAAAGAATAAAAATTCAGTCATTTTGTATGATTGGTTTGTCACTTTAGTAAACAGAACACGTGACATGATAATTGTTGTTGTTTGTCTTGTTAGTAGCATGTAAATTTATGACCTTTTAAGATAAAAATAACTAAATTATGCATATAGATTTATTACATAATAAACTATTCTGACATTAAGTATCTGGTTTTGATGGATTAATGCATTACTGTATTATAGTTTATAATACATATTTAACAAAAGAATAAAAATTCAGTCATTTTGTATGATTGGTTTGTCACTTTAGTAAACAGAACACGTGACATGATAATTGTTGTTGTTTGTCTTGTTAGTAGCATGTAAATTTATGACCTTTTAAGATAAAAATAACAAAATGATTATTTATTTATTTGTTTATCGAAATTTATAATTCTGAAGATTTTTTAACACAATTTTAATATTTCTATCATTAATTTTATATTGTTTGTCTCAACAAAACATGTAGCTAATATTTTTAATATTTTGGCCTTTATTATATTATGTTTTTATTGATATAATTGACTTTTTGGTTTATTTCATCAAATACAACAAATGAGAATTAAACTTCAGCAAAATATTTTATTTTATTTAGAATATGCAATTGTTTTATTGAATTGGTGACCCTTTGTTTTAGTTCTGAAAATAACTGCTTTAGTAGTTCTTAAAAGGATTTTTTTTTTTTTAATTATGCACAGCCAAGTTAGGGTATTTCAGGAATTTCTGTTTTTCTAAGACGATTCTCACTACTACTGGTATTTGAATTTCCAGAAATGTTGTTGATAAGTTGTTTGATATATTCTTCAATTAAGTGGTTTGATTCACAATTTAATTGTTCAATATTCAAAATATGCTTAACTTCTTTTTCTAATTACATGCTGTAACATTATTGATGGCAGATGATGATAGTTGTCTATGTCAGATGTTTAAAAGATGCATTTTTTTTTATTTAACTGATTTTTTCACTTGTGCCCAAATTAATTCAATTTGATTTAAATTACAATGGTAGGGAGGTAAATGTAAAACATTTGTCTTAAATACCTATGTCTATGTGTAATAATTTCTGATTTTTCAATTTAAAATTTCCTGTTATCTATTTTATCATATTTTAAATTAAGCTTTTTGTTAAAATACGATGCAATGAAGTTCTATCCATAAACAAAATGTTTTCACATAAATTTTCTTTAACAGAAGAAAGTGTTGGTTGGTCTCAAAATATTTCCAAAATTATGGCACAAGTAACAGATAAGTCAAAATCATCCAAATCCATAACAGGAGCACTTTATGGTCATTTCTTTCCAGGTGTAGAAAATGTCAGTGATGAAATAAGCTTGTCAATGTTTACAGCCATGGCAATGGTGACATTCTCTCCTTCAGTGGAAATCTTTCTTATTGTTGATACAGATACATCAGTAGCTTTTGACGTTACATTAAGAACATCAAAACATGATTAGTTTTGACAATTAGAATAATTATATATCTTAAACATGATATCCTGGTTTGACTGTGCAATGTTAGCTACAACAATATTATTGTGCTACAATTTGAAAAAATTCTAGACCTATAAATTCCCACTGTCATCCATCCGTCTGTCTTTTTAGTTATCATTTCCCAAACTAAAGCATGATATCATATTATTCTTTTCTTTTATTTTAATTTAGATTGTTAAAATTTGTTTTATTTTAATTTTAATAACATTTGTATAACATTCAAAATATTACTAAACAACTTTCAAGTAAAAAGAGGATAATAAAGTAGATGTTCAGGTTTCATTTTCTAAACAGTTATTGGACATTTGATAGAGAATTACAGTATTGGATAACTTGGACTTTGCAATCCATCAGCTCCTTAACATATAATGCATTTTTTCTTTTGTTGACCAGACTATAAATGCTTTTGGACATTTATTCATATCCATCAGTAATGTCAAAATAGTGATATTATGAAGTGTGATCATGATTATATAATAAACTTAACAGAAGTCATTGATATATAAATCCTAAATAAGAATTAGTTTTAAAAAATTATATTTTCATTAATATTTGGCTAAATTTTATTTATTTTAGGCTTGTATATTAATGAATAATATCCAGCAGTTAAGAGTACAACTAGAGAAAATGTTTGAATCAATGGGAGGTGAAAAGGTTAGTTCAGTTTATAAATTGTCACACAAGTTCCACAGGGTTCTAAATACACTTTTAGTCAAAAATGAGATATTTTCATCATCTTAGAAAAAATAATTCTACATTTTTCAGTATTAAAGGAATTTCTATTGATTGACAGATTGCACTATAAGGACCAATTTCACGTAGTTCTAAGTAACACTAATGGATTGTATTAAAAGTTAAAAGATTCTGAGTACTGTTTTCAGCATTTTGTAATCTTGTGGCAGAAGAAAAGTTAAAGTGCATAAAGTTTTCATATGAGTAGATGAATACCAAGGATAACATGAAAGCATTGTTAAATAAATATCATAAAGCACAATGTTAATGGACCAAATAATGTTTTTCTTTCGGGATGATTGTTATACAGATATTTTTTGTTATCAGTTACCTACTGATTTTTGTTCACTATTATACTTTGTTAATTTTTGTTTTATTTAATTAAATATTAAAACTTTAAAAAGCATAATCTATACATTATTTGTTAAAGAACAGTATTACAGTGTTACATGGTTCTAAGTACAGTACATATATAGTACCTTACAAATCACCCTATAACTTTTTCAGTTCTAAAATATAGGAAGATTATTTATTATAAATCTTCCCAGTATAGAATGTCCACTTACAAACTGTCAAAATATAAATCACACAAATATTTATATTAAACAAAACAATAAAAATTGCTCTCTCATAAAATTTTACAAAATGTACAATACATGGGACCCTGTGGAACTCACACAATGAAATATTGTTGTTCTGAACCAAAAGCTCAATTTATATGAAGTAAACTCAAGAAGATACAAAAGTAACTGCCAAAGCTTGTGAGCATGCACATTTGAAAAGATCTTATACATATTTAGTGAGAAGTCTCTTAAAAATAAATAAATTCCCAAGAAAACTGACCTTTGAAATACTTTAATTTTAACTTTATATGCTCTACTACATAAAAAAGTACAGTCGACCCCCCTATAAGATCGTTGATTTTTCCGTTTTATCTGAATTACATGTTGTACGAGTCACTTAGATTTTACAAATATGTGTGCCGTTCTGTGCCCGGCTCACGTATTTGTAAAATCTAAGTGACTCGTACAACATGTAATTCAGATAAAACGGAAAAATCAACGATCTTATAGGGGGTCGACTGTATTTAATATAATTGAAGCATAGTGATCCTTTATATCCTATTTTCAACAAATTTTCGATATCTTTAAAATAATTTATTAATTACTTGATGAATATTTGTAAATATCCCTCTCCTAATCTCTTTTATAATAATTTGTGTTTATAATTGCAGATTTTTACATTTTCTTAATTAACAGTAAACTTATTGATTGAACTATTTGATACAAGCTTAACATCCATCGTGCAACTACAGTTGAGCCCCCTATAACACTGTTGATGATTCTGTGCTATATGAATTCCATGTTGTACGAGCCACTTAGATTTTACAAATACATGTGTTGGGCTGTGAACAGCTCTCATATTTGTAAAATCTAAGTGACTTGTACAACATGGAATTCATATAACACAGAATTATCAACAGTGTTATAGGGGGGTCAACTATACCATATATTTTAAAATTCACATATCATTATGAGTCATATTGTACTGTACATGTCATATAATGATTTAAGCCAATTAGTCTGCCATTCATTTGCAGCTGTAAAAATTTACTTTTTCTGATTCTCCACAACACGATCATGCATATATGGATCATGTGTCAAAATGGAAGTGTGATCGTTTAAATAATGCATGTCATGAGTGACAGTTTAGCACAACTGATGTCAGCTGTTCACACTTCATCTAAATTGGGCTTAATATTAATATTGAATATAAGATAGTTTCTCACCAATTATGATTTCATATATCAAATATAGATTTCATATATTTTTGTTCATTAATAATTATAAAGAAGCATTTATATTGTTTCTAATGTTATGTATAATTCTTATAGTTGGAATCTGATGCTGCTACAATATTGAAAGAATTGCAACAGTCCTTAAACACTGTACTTGATGACTTAAGTGTTGTTTTTGCTCAAAGGTAATGTAAACTTATGCTATTTGTATTATTCTGTATTATTATGTCATTAATATTGCAATATATTTGCAATTTTTAGCCTGGAAGGTACTATAAAACAAAGTATGCAGGAATTAAGTGCATTACTTGCAGCCGTGAAAGGCACTGGCCAAGTATCCATGAATCAGCAGTCTCAACGCAACGAAGTCATTGCAGAAGCTGATCATATTTTGCATCCATTGATGGATATTTTAGATGGAAAACTGTCCATGTTTGCCCACGAATGTGAACGTACAGTTCTGAAACGTTTGTTGAAAGTATGTTATAAGTTTTATTTTATAACTTTAAATTAATACTGGAATTTTGTTTATATAATATTATAAACAATTAACTACAGGAATTGTGGAAGATAGTAATTCACACTATGGAAAAAACAGTTGTGTTGCCTCCAATTTCAGAAAAGAATGTAAGTATATTTGACAGTTACTGTTATAACAAAACATTAAAAATATATATCTAGCTAGATTTTAATTATGTAAAAGTTGTATAGCTACAATTTTTTACATATTAAAAGGCCATAACAACATTAAAATTATTCTAATTTTACCATTTCTAAATCTGCTATAAAATGCAGTATATTTTTTCTTAAATATTTTTGTATTATTATTTTTTTATATAATCATTGGAAAGTAAATTCTAAAATCATCAAAAAAAATTTCAAACTTTTTATTATTTATTTATGTGATCTTTTTGCAAAATAATGAGTTTCTAGTATTTTGATGTGAAAAAAAATTACTTTTATTTTTCTTTTATATTATATTTTTATGAAAGTAAATGATACTCAAAATAGACTTAGTTTTGAAAATTTTGGTGATTTTAGTAAGTTTTTCATTTCAAAAATGTAAATATGGTTTTTCACAATCAAAATTATTTTGCCTAATGTATTTACTTGAAAATAGGTACATTTTAAAAATAACATTAAAAGAATATTTTGTTTTAATTTTACCAACTTAGTACCGAAAATAATACAAAATTGATTTGAATATGTGTGTGAAATGTTTTCAGTTGGCTTCTAATGGTTTTTCAGCACATTATTATAAACATAAAAAATAATAAATATGCACATTCACTTACCTTTTTTAAAAAAGTTATTGAGTTCCAATCAACTACTTCCAATAATTATTTATTAATGAACCTATTGATATATTTAGACATAAATCACATTCAAATCTTTCAGGGAGGATTTACTCTTCTTTTGTATATCATTTATCTTTTTTCAAAACTAGAATTAAATTCTATCCTGAATGGATCTTTAGTTTATAGATATAATCAGTTATATTTTTTTTAATAATTTATGCATATTATATTCATTTATGTGTAAATTGATCAGAATTTGGTAATGTACAGATTGTGTAAAAATATGGCTAAACAGGTCTTCAAAAGTTCTTAAAAAAGCATATGATACTAACTACACAGTAAAAACGAGTTAAAAGACTGTCTTTTGCTGTCAAATTTAATGCCAAAATCAGTTTTTTAATTCATTTTATTAAACCTATCTATCGATTGAAGATTATTAAGGAACGAAGGCAGTGCTGACTTTGTAAAAAGGAAAATATTGAATAGAATTATTTAATAAACAAAGATTAGTCCCTCTTGTACAAGGGTCTTTTTTCTGAAAGATTTGGTGTTTGTTATAATTAAACATTTGTTATAATCACTAGTTTTCTTAATAGACAGATAGTCTAAAAGAAGTAGACTGAAGATGTACAGTTTGAAAAAAATTGAATATGCTTATTTCTTTTAATTTAATATATAAAAGTTATTTAAAAGAGAGAGAAATTAGAAGAAGAATGAGTAGAAATAAAGAAGTTACAATAACTAATAACAATTTTTATATATTAAAATACAATAAGTAAGCACATTCACTTTTTATATATACACACATTTACATACAACCAATTATATATTATTTTTCAAAATTAAAAGAAATGAAGTGGAAGAGTTTTCAAAAAGCATTTTTAAAAAATAAAACTTATAATATATGTATCAATATTAATATGATTCTGCAATTTTTGAAAGTACAGTGGAACCCCGGTTAACAAACGTAATCCGTTCCACGAGTCCGTTCGTTAACCGAAGCAATTTTTCCATAGAAATTAATGCAAATACAATTAATCCGTTCTAGCCGTCAGTATTTTTGTAATTTTATTTGTAAAATGGTTTTCTTTAATGAAAATATAGGAAAGCGTGCTCATAAACAGTCGATCTAGGTTAAATTTTCGGAAAAGGGGAAAGATTTGACGGGTATAAAAACATCACATACGATCGTTAAAGTTCTAAAATGACAGATAGCAGAAACAATAGGCTAAATTATGAGCGAAAGGCTTATAGGTTTATCAACAATCTCTGATCAGAGTCGATGAACAGGTGTCAAATAAACGCCTTGGAACAAACCTTTCTCGTGACCTGATCTGGTTTCGATTTTCACCTGGAGACAAAGAAGAAAACAATCGGGAAGCGAGGAATGGGATGCAGGACTAATCGTAAGGTGAGATTCAAGGAAGAAATACTATAAAAACCCTGAATCTCAAGGTCAAAACACAGTTTTCCTAAAAATTCTATGGCGGTTAATCTGTGTCGTCTTCATCTGGATTAAGCCTGAAGTCGTGCGTGCTAAAATTTGTGCTGTGTCTCGCGGACCACTCCAGTTGTTGCACCTCTGTCACCTACCATCGCTTCTGTGACCAAGCAAACCCATCTCGTCCACTCTGGGGCTATGACTGATCAGCTTGCACTATCGTAGGACCAGCGATACGCCACTCCTCAGTGCCGAGAGAAAATACTGTAAATAAGCCATTTCAAACTACCTCAAATATGTAAGCATCTTCCCGTTCTAATAAACGATTTTCACTGTAAAATACTTGAATACTTGTCATCTTTGTCTCCTCCGCCACCACCAATGTACGAATGGACCCTAGACCATCGTCGACACACGATTAACTGATTTTCCCTAAAAATCAGCAAGCTTACAAATTTGACACAAAAAGCCTTTAAGTTCGTTATCCGAGACAAAATTTTTGCAAAATAAAAGTTCGTTAACCGATTTGGTCGTTAACCAGGACGTTCGTTAACTGGGGTTCCACTGTATCTGCATTCTCAGATAAAGAAAGCATTTTAGAATTTTAGTAAGATTAATATTAATGTCTTGTGTAATGCATATCCAAATGTTTAATATTTAAGTGTTTTTATTTTGAAATTTTTAAAATACATTTTTAAAATTTCAAAAATTGATAAGTTGGCAATTAGAAAGTTTTAAGTGTTGTAGAAAATAGGATTCTCTCTTTTTTCATGACAATATTTTTTTATTCAACATTCATTATTCATATTTTATTAAACATAATGTTTTTCTGAATGATTTTTGGAACTGGAATTATTTCATTGATTTTAAAATTAAAAATAAATTGTAAATATTCAATTTAGTAAATTTTTATAATTCAGCAAACTGTAGTAAAAATTCTGTTAAGTGCTTGTTTGTATGGTTATAATAAAAAAATTAAGGGAAATGTTTGTCAGTGTTTATCAGTTAACAATACAAAAGACTTTCACATATTGTTATATTATCAAATTTTGATTATATTAATTTTATTAAAATATATTTTTGTTATATTTTTATAGGTTATCCTTCCTAATTTGCCAAATGCAAAAATTGAAGATGTGGGTCGCCTCTTCCGTAACCATGTAACAGCAAACAAATTACCAGCTCTTGGAGTGATGGTAAGTCAACAACTGAAATGGAAATTGATTCTCAAATTCAATACATTAAATACATATAGTACTTTTTTCTTTATATAAAATTTGATGTGATGCAAATTATCAGATTAAAAAGTAAGCATATTAATATTTTTGAGATCAAGAGCCTATGTAAGTGGTCTTGTGCTTGAACACATAAAGTATACTAATTATTTAGTCTGATGATGATAACTAAAAACTATGATCACTAAAACACTTTCTTCTTCTTCTTCTTCTTCTTCTTCTTCTTCTTTTGTCCCTAGCTGGCATTTGGTTGTGGGCATCCGCACAACCAGTATGCTGCTATGGGTGCTGCAGGAAGTTGGGCTTTCTCCACAATGCCCCTCCAATGCCCTCGATCCATAGCTGCTGCTTTTGCCTGCCTCAGATCAAGCCGTTGGTTCCTGAGGTCCTCCTCAACCTGTTTGGTCCACGTTTTCTTAGGTGCGGAGTGTTGGATTTTCCACACAGTAGGTCGCTGTCAGAAGAGAAGTTGGTGGGGAATTTGATTAATATCCATTCGGCACACATGGCCAAACCATCTCAGCCGTCGCTGTTGAATTTGTGTCTCAACAGATGGCTGCTGTTGGCATATGGCCCAGATGGCGTTGTTGGTGATGCGATCCCAAAGGGAGATATTAAGAATCTGTCTGAAGCATTTCAATTGAAAGGTCTTAAGTTTGTCTAAGTCTGTCTTAAGCAGGGTCCAAGTTTCTGACCCATAGAGAAGGATCGATATGACTAGTGTACAGAACAAGCAGATCTTGGTCATCAAAGAGATGTTATTCTTTCTCCATACATACCATTTGAGTGAGGCAAATGCATGGGCTGCCTGTCCAATATGGGCATGAGTTTCTTTCAACGATGCCACTTTCTTCTCCTGGATCAGTGACCCAGGGCAGGGATTGGAATTAGTGGCTCTTCGGACATAAACTCCAATTTCACCTCACCTCATTTCACCGCAGCCTTATAACTTATGAGTTTATGAGATAGAGCCACTGAACAAACTGCAACTACACCGTCCACACATGACCACACTCGCGTTGATCAATATGAGTCACATAAGAGTGGTAACATTTGAAGCATATCTATATATATAACACATTGAACGCGTGTCTGTCCATCCGTGTAACATTATGCCAAAAATGGCCACTAGAGGTGCCCCTGTCGTGTGTCGTATTTTGCACATTTAAATTAATATTCAGCTTTCTAGTACTTTTGTTATCCTGTTTTTATGACAATTTGGTTCTTCTCACTTGACAAACTGCCGACTCCTGACCCAGGGTATTTAAACTCTTGTACCTGCTCAATCTGGACTCCATTAAGGTAAACAGTTGCCTGTGATCCATCTGTTGTAAGCACTTTGGTTTTGTCAACATTTATTTTAAAACTGAGCGATATTGGCAATATCACAAAGCGTGTCTGTAGCTACTACATTGTTGTCAGCAAAAACGGCACTGTTGTCGGCAAACATTAGATCAGTTAGAAAGTGGCCACATATTAAACTGGACACCACATTTCCCATTAAATGCCTTCTTTGTAATTGAATCCACCACAATATTAAACAATAGTGGAGAGACCACATCTCCCTGGCAAACTCCTGTCTGGATGGTAAACTCCTCAGACAGTTCCCCCCAGATTTGCAGTTGACTGGTGGAATCTTTGTAGGCTTCCTTAAGCAGTGTGATAACTTTTTGTGGGACATGCTTATTCTCAAGTGCTCTCCATAGCGCAGGCCTGTGCACACAGTCAAATGCAGATTTGAAATTGATGAACATGAGAACAGTCCATTTACCGCATCTGGTCCTTTCCTCTATAAGCTGACGCAGGGCAAAGATTTGATCATAGCAACCTCAACCAGGACAGAACCCTGCCTGTTCTTCTCGGCTGGTTTCTTCACGGTGTTTTTGTAACCTTGATTGGATTATCTTCATAAATACTTTGCCAATGATGGAAAAGAGACTGATACCACGATAATTACTGCAATCCCGGCTGTCACCTTTCTTGTGGATTGGCACGATGATAGCTTTCTTCCAAATGGCTGGTATTTGTTCTGCCATATTGTTTTAATGAGTAGATAAAGACGATGGTGCAGGATGTCACCACCAGCCTTGATCGCCTCTGTAGTGATCAGATCCAGTCCAGCAGCTTTGCCAATCTTCAGCGATCCAATGGCTGCCTTCACTTCTGCAATGGTAGGCTCTAAAACACTAACATTATTAAACATTATTCCTCTCTTAAATATTGTCTTCATTGCAAAATTAAAATTTTTTATGGAATAAAATGAACATGGAAAAAGCATACATGGGATATCATGAAGCAGTTATATTATAAATTATACAGGCTATCCCAAAAGTCTGGAAGCATGTAATATAATGTTTCTATCTAATGTTCCTTACTAATTTTTGTATGACTTACAACTTTCTGATTAACATTTTTGATCTTGAATGCATGATTTTAAAAATATTTTTTGAATGACTTGAAAATGCCCTCTGAGGTCAACTTTATGGTCACCATTGGATTTGTCATGCATCATAACATATATACTCTCATTGTTCATTTTCCTGCCATCATCCATAGAAATATTACATTACATGTATCTAGATTTTTGGGACACACTGTATAATAGGCAATCATAATTAAAGTAAACCTATTCAATGATGTCTAGAGAGATATTTAGTAGTTCAAATCTGGTATGGTGACTTTTCAGGATATGCAGAAGACATTTCAAAAAAAAAAAATTAGTGCAAAAACTCATTACTAAGGCACTTTTGGTGCTGTAAGCAACAAACATTTTATTTATACAAGACATTCAGCTATACAAAGACATTAGCAATGCAGGGGATACTATTCAATGTGGTCCTTGATCTGATTCTCAATTACAGTCAGCTGTAATTGAGAATCAGATCAAGTAGACATGGGCAATAGTTAACTACTAATGTAATTAAACTACATAGTTAACTACTCAATACGGTAACTACTACTTACAGTTACTATCCTAATTTGGTAATTAAAACTATTAATTCACTATATTATTGCCTTGGAGAAATCTATTGTATTAAGTAGAGCAAACATGTCTTGATTTTTATGAAGATCAATTTAACTTTTGTTATTGTCAGCAAGTTTGGTTGAACACTTTACTCATTTTCAAGTAATTGTATTATTTACAGTTTTTATATTGGTAGTTGATAAAAGTCAAACTCAAAGAAAAACAACCAATTAAGTTTCACAACATGCACATGCACATGTGTAAGAAAATACATGGCTTGTTATTGGGCTGCAATTTGAAAAAATTGTAGACCTATAAAAACTCCCACTGTTGTGTTCAGACAAAGAACACATCTGTTCTTTGTCTGAACACTTGTGGTCACAATCCCTGATCAGAACCATACTACAGAGCTTGTAAGGAAAAGCGACTGCTCAAAATTCCCTTTACTATCCAGCTCCCTGATGGTCACTACAATAATAACACATAGGAAACTATCACGCACATTCTCACTAGCCTTTACCCTTTGGATGATCCACAGCAGAATGACAGTACACAAGCAGTCATCAGAAGTTCTACACTCACTCCACCTAACACAGACAATGACCATAACTTCACCTTCATCGAGGTTTCGAAAGCCATCCATTCGCTTACCGATAACAGGCCTTGATGGCATAACCACTAGAATGTTTAAACATGCATTTGAGGCCAATCCTACAGCATTTGTTATTCTCTTTAATATCTGCTTGAAGTGTTAAATTGATTCCCAAACTCGCCAGTGCTATCACTCACAAAAATACAGATTGATCTGCTTTTGCCCAACTCTGGGAAAAGTGTTAGATGGTCTAATGATTAATATGATCACTTGGCATTTATGCAAGCATAGAGTCCTGCATCAGAATCAGTTTGGCTTCTGAATCCTAAAAACAAAGGTACTGTAGATGCCATCCACCAGGCTAAACATAATAATCATCATACGGCAATAATTACTATTGACTTTAGAGGCACCTTTGATCACGCCTGATGGCCTTCTATCTTGTACACATTACATGCTCGTCACTGCCCTCAAAATTTTTACAAACTTCTTCAATCCTATCTTAGCAACAAGAGTGCAGTTGCTTATACAACACGAAATAACATAATCATACCCATCACTCAGAGATCCAGGTCTGATCCTGGTCTCTGGAACATAGCCTATAACTCTATGCTGCACTTAAATGACACCTTGCCTCCTGGCTACCGCATACAGGGCTATGTGGATGACGCAATTATCCTAGCTTCACACAGGAACGGTAAACACTTACAGGACATATGCAATGACATTCTCAATAACATTCACCAGTGGAGTATTAAGCATAGGCAATCCATTAACACAGACAAATGCAAAAGCATGATAGTTGGTAGGAATGCACCACTCGTCAGGAAGCTTACCCTTCGAATAGATGCTCACAGAATAAAGCAAACAATGGAAATTAAATATTTAGGTGTTATTCTTGATGAGAGACTTAACTTCACACCCCACATCAAATACATCATGGACAAAGCTAAAAGGACAGACAACACCCTCATTAGTATTGTTAGGAACACATGGGCTCTTGGCCCTAACACTACTAAGCTTATTTACAGGGTGCAATTCAGCCAACACTCCTAAATTCGATTGGTTTAAGTTAGTCCTAGTTGTAAGTTAGATTAGGTACTCAGCTTGGTTTCCAGTTAGGTTATTATAGGTTAGGTTATGGTAGGTTAGTTTAGTTAGTAAGTTAATGTTTAAAAAAAATAAATAAATAAATTTATATAAAAAAAAATTATTCGGGTCTTGCTCATTTGTCTTCTGTCAGTCTGTTCATCTTGTCTGGTTTGTCGTTGTGTTTGTTTGTTTTCACACTGTCTGTCTAGCTGTTAATAGTATTAAGATTCACACTCACATTCAGTTTTATTAGTATTAAGTAGATATAAGTCTTCCTACTAACAGCCACTTGGTACTAACTTCTACACTTAGCTGCTTGTGGCGGTGCTCAATTATTAGTGTTTGCTACACTCAGGTTTTTGGTTTTTTTTGGTTGCTTGCAGTGCCAAAAGTGCCATAGTGGTAAGCTTTGGTGCTAATTTTTTAATGGAAATATCTTCTGCATGCCCTGAAATGTCATCACTTCCCAAATTTGGTTAGATTTGGGCTTCTAAATATCATAAAACTCTCCAGTATTGAATAGGTATATATACTTTAATTAGGACACATTTAATTTAATTAGGATGTGAGCATTTTATTCATAATATAATAACAAAATTACTGTTTACATATTTTAAAACTATGATTGTAAAATACCTAATCTTAATGTTAACTGTTATATATTTAATTCTTCTGTGATATTTCTTTAGAAAACATTTAGTTAATATTATGATTAATTTTTTCTCTTAGGAAGTAGAAAAGAATTTGAGTCCCAAGCAATGTGCAGTAGTTGATGTTGCATTAGATACTATTAAACAATATTTCCATGCTGGTGGAAATGGACTTAAGAAAGCATTTTTAGATAAAAGTGCAGAATTACAATCCTTGAGATATGCCCTCTCTCTGTATACTCAAACTACAGATACCTTGATTAAAACATTTGTTACCTCTCAGACCAAACAAGGTAAGTTAATTTTTATAAAATTTTTATTTCAAGTTACTTAATATTGCCTTATTAAATATTAGATTTGACAACTGAATTCCATGATTGGTTCCATTACAAGAATTTATATAAAAGAATGTAGAAACAAGATTTGAAATTTATCTGATAACTGATCAATTTAATTATTTCCTTTACAGATTTGTTCATATGTCATTCATTGTTCACACACACTCACTCACTCATTCACTTATAATAGAAATTTCATATTATATAAATTATTGTCATGTTTTGTAATGACAGAGAAAATTAAAATATTAAATTTTAAATAAGTAAAAAGTTAGATAACAATGCAGGTGACAGCACAAGAAGTGTCATTTATAAGTTTTAATTAATTATTTAAAGGAACTTATTGAATAATATTTCAGTGAGTTGATCTCTGCTATACAACAATATTTGATCTCAAGATGAAAAATTTTAATAAAGTGTACTGTGATTATATTTAGCCCTTATTCTTCTGATTTATCTTTTTGTCTTCTGGCTTTCTTGTTTCATAAAGTTAAACTGATATCAGAGAGTATTAAATATAGTATTAATTAATGACAGAAAAATGAAATAAGTTTAAAAGATATTTTACATAGTTCTATGGGTGAGTATAAAAATGTGATCTTCCTAAGGAGATTATCTTTATCCTTTATTATTCAAACTAAAGTCTTGATCCATTTTTGTGAAATTGCTAGCAAAATCATTTGTTTGTAAGCTGTATGAAAACATGATCTGAGAAGAGAGTGTTACTGCAGTTAGTGTACATTTGGATGGGTTAACATAAGTGGCAATACAAACTTTGCTCAAAAATTCAGGAAGCCTGCTCACAGCAGGTCAATATCAGACTGTTAGTTAAGAAATTCAGGCAAACGAATAGTTTGTGATGCACAACATTCAGGGAGACCACCCATCCATACAAAATGGTTCAACATGTAAAGACCACATTATAATAGTACTATATCATCAACCTGGAGGTAAGGTTGGAGCTTGGTCTGCCACAACTGTAGTCTGACAGTATGGAAGATCCTCTGTTACAAACTTGTGAAACATGCATACTGTGTCCAGGTGTGCAACACCTGAAGGAGAAGGACTACTACTATGCTACCCACCAAGCAATGTATCATATTCTTTGGTGGCTTTGGGACATTTGTTGTACAGTGATATGTTAATCCATTCAAATGTGCACAAACCACAGTAACTCTCTCATTTTGAGTCAGCCTGCAAGCAAATGATTTTGTTAGGATTTTCACAAAAATAGAACAAGACTTTATAATCTCTCTAATTCAGAAATGGACAGCACACAAATCATTTAATAGGAGAAACTTCTTAACATGTAGGCATTAAATTACAAATAAATTTGTAATAATCTCTCTATAAAAACTTTCATTCATTTCATTTGACAATTTTAACTTAAGTTCCAAAAATATGCAAATTATGTATATTAAAGATTAAATGTTTGATAGGTAAATATCTAAATATAATCCAACAGAATAATAAATGTAAAATGTATGCTGTTAACTGTGTGTATATGTGCATGCATGCATGCACACATGAGTATTTGCACAAAAAATAATAATACAGACAGAATCTTGAACCGTTAGCAAAAGTTTTGAAATAAATATACCAAGTTTAGTTAAGAATAGTTTCTTATAAAATTATTCCTGCCAAAAGAAAGAAATTACAGTTGTCAAAACATTTTTGATTTAATTCATTTTGTTCTATTTGAAAGTTGTTTAATTTCATATTAAATAATTTCTAACAGCTTAAGAAGTTTATTTATTGCTTCTTTAGTATTTTCTAGATTAATTTTATAATATTAACTCCTCTAAAGCATTTTTATTAAAATTTTTATAATAAATGAGAGAAAACATTTTCTTTCATTCTTTGAAATATATAATACATTTTTTAAATTTTATTTCTGTATTTTAGATTCCTTAACTGCAGAAGAAGGTAGTGTAGGAGAAGTATCTATTCAGGTAGATTTGTTTACTCATCCAGGAACAGGAGAACATAAAATTACAGTAAAAGGTAATGAAACATTAATTAATATTACGTACAGTTGGATAAATAGAAAACAAAGTAGAATTAGGATTACTTATGTTAATAATTTGTAGTTAAAAAGTAAATGTTAATGTTTAATTTTTTGCCTTTTTTTTAGTTGTGGCTGCAAATGATTTGAAGTGGCCAAGTACCAGTATGTTCCGCCCATTTGTTGAAGTAAATCTGATAGGCCCTCATCTCAGTGACAAAAGAAGGAAGCATGCCACAAAGTCTAAAAATAATAACTGGTCCCCCAAGTACAATGAAACATTCCACTTGTAAGTGTATTATTTTATTATAATTATATTATTTTGTTTACATCTATTATAAAAATTTATATTTTGTCAGTATTATTGGAAATGAAGAAGAACCTTCCTCATTTGAACTACATATATGTATAAAGGATTATTGTTTTGCTCGTGATGATAGATTAGTTGGGGTTGCAGTCATGCAGCTGTTAGATATTGTTGATCAAGGTAGTTGTGCTTGTTGGCTTCCTCTTGGAAGAAGAGTTTATATGGATGAGACTGGATGGACTGTATTACGTATACTGTCTCAACGTACAAATGACGAAGTTGCTCGTGAATTTGTGAAATTAAAGTCTGATGTTCGAAATGATGAAAATATTCAACAACAGGTGTAGATGGTGCTGATTCTTTCTGACTATGGAAATGAATAAACCTTTAAGGAATAATTAGAAGTCAGATATCCTTATATTTGCTCATTTGGGAGAAGAATGAACCTTTTGTTATTAAGTGGTACTATTGATGTTATTTATAGTCCCATTTTCAATAATATGTCAAAAACACACAACAAAAACGGAAAAAATTCAGCTAACATCCCTTAATGAAATTTGTGTATGTTTATAATGTCATATATGTATATATTTTTAAATATATATATATATGTTCATACAAAGACATACACATATATAGTCATCATAGCTTTATAACAATATATTCTAAGGTCCACCAATAGAAAAATCTTTAATCTTTATTGATTGATGTTAACAGACCAATGTTCTAATATTGTTATCCATATTCTTTTCTCAATCATCAAATTTTTTACTGATGTATTCTGTACTGATGCAGTGTTTCATGGCAGGGATCTAGATATCAACTTTAGTTTAAAAGAAGACAAAATTAGATGGATCCTGTCATGCTTGATCAGTCATCAATCAAGACTCAATTCATTCTCCAAAAAAAAAATAAAAAAGACTTAAAACAACAAATAAAGGTGACGATATTAAAAAAAAAAGCTGAATTCCAGATTCTATTTTTTATATTGCATCATTGTGAAGGTAGAAGAGTAGACTATTAGAGGTAATGGCAGTGTCCCAGAAAATAGCCATCTATTGTGCTGCTAATTATATGTGTCGTTCAATGCACCAACTGCCATGTTGCCCAGCACAGTAATCTTAAATCATCCTTTTATTTTTCTGTCATTGTTCCTCCTAAAGCTGTGCCAATTGAATGTTTGGTTAACTAGTGTTAATCAAAACAAGTCACCATAGAAATTCGTCTCTATGTTAGTTTATTGGTTTTGAAAAAAATAAAAAGAAAATTTTAGATAATAAAAAAGGGTTTATGGGAAATCTCAATCTCTTGAAATTGATGTGTAGTTCTTACAGTCTCTGCAATATCTCTGTATTAGTTATAATTAGTAATATTAAGACAGAATTTGTAGTATGGGAAGAGAATAGATTTGATGCAGTTGGAATTTCTGTCTAACTGTGCTTCCCGCAATGAAATTGAAACAAACTATGCATGTCAAAAGGAAAACTATCTCTTTATAGACAATTCCATATTTCTTCCATTGGAATGTCATTCTTTTTTTCAGTATAAAAATAAATAAATATATAAATATATATATACACAAATATATATATATATTATCTAAATTTTATTGCTTCTCCAACCATTTTGCACAACTTCCAAAATTGTGTTCTAATCTAAGGAAAAAAATATGTGCTGTAAGATATCTTGAGGTCTTTATCTAGTCATTTTTATTAGGAGAGTTTAAGGTAAGAAATAATGAATGAACTTTGAAAGTTCAAATTGAGAGTGCCCTTAAAAAGTTCAGGTCCATTTTGTTTGTTGTTTAATTTGATTTATTTCTGCACTTCACAAAAAATTCAGTGTAGTTTATATTTTACAAATAAGATGTTAATCACCTGGATGCCTTACACTTCATGGGTTTAGGGTTGAAGTATGCAAGTCATGCACAGGTTATTGTGATAAATATCATCGGGTTTTTTTGTGGTACTTTTGTTGTGTCTTACACAGTGTACTATAAGACTTATTTTACACAGATTGCAATATTATGTGCATTGTATTCTGTATATACATACATATATATATGAATGAGGGAAAGAAAATAATTACATACAATATATTTCTCTAAAATTAAATTTATTTTTTTCTAGTCATATTTGTAAATTTTTTGTTATTGTTAATGTTTATTTAAATAATAGGATCTCATTAAAGATTATAATTATATAGAATCTATTAAGTATTATATAAAGTCATTCAGATATTGCATATGTTTGGTGCATATGTAAAAATTACAATTTCCTTGTATGATATATTGAAATATGGTAAAATTAGGGAATGTGTAAAATACCCACCCTGTATCTCCAACGTATTGCAGTATTTTTAAGTGCATATCAATAATGTAATTTCATTTAAAAAGTGAAGAAGGAAACTCATTGCACAATTAACGTCAGTTGGTGGATCCTCTGGAAAATATAATAAAAAAAATGATTTTTTTTAATTGTGTAATATAAATTAACATTTTAAGAACTGATTGGACGATTAGATCTTTAGATGATATTTTGAAATGTGCAATATATACAAACTGTGTATCCAATTTTCCTATCACTTGTATTCCATCCTAGTGTTAGATGTGGGTACAGGAGTGGGATTCAAAAATTGCCATAAAAAGGGGTAACTAATTGATATTCTGCAATAGACCTGTTTTATTATATGATATTTAAATAAATCTTTAAATTCCAACAAGAGTGAATACAAATTTAGCAAGTGATCCTGTTGGAAACTATATTGTAATTTTTAAGTTATATTTCTTGTTAAAAATGTGTAATTGATATTACTGGGAACAATATTTTTTTGCTGTTGTTGTTATAAACTATTACTTCTCAGTACTTCCAACTGTTCATGATTAAATTATAATCTGTGGATAAATTATATATACTGTATATTTCATGTTTATGCATGTTCCTATATGGTGCAATGTGGATAAACACCATCTCTGTCAAGTTTTCAGAAAATTTCAAAATATTATTTAGAGTACTGATGTGCCTGAGATAAAAGCCAAGAGCATGAATTGTTCTACAATGTATATAAATATATATCTATATATTACTTCTCCCTCGTTTCTTACATTTTTGAATGTACCCCCTTTTATTGTATAGCAATATAGAAAAATTTTATGTGCTAATTGGAAGCATGTGATATTCCTATTGATAATATAACATATCTTAAAACCTATAAAAAAAAAAAAAAAGCATTTTGGGCAATATTAATTTTTTTAATGTATTGTAATATTATGTCACCCTAGATGCATGAGTATCAGCCATGTTTATAATTTTAAGTTCTTTTTAAATAAAGAATAATTTTTATTTGTATATTTTAATTAAAAAGTTAAATATATTTAAAATTATTTATCCCCACCATTAGTACATTGTTTATTCCTTCTTTATCTACAATATAGATTTTTAATTTGATGTCACAATATTTACACATCAATGTATAATCTCTTCAACAAATCAATAAAAATGGGGGGATTTAAGAAGCGATAAATTCATTTTTATATTACTTTTTAAAAATGAAAATGAATAAGTATGCATTTATTTGTTCTGTTTTTTTTTTAATTGTAATATTAAAAATTTGACACCTGGTGACTTCAAAACAATTGAAATCAACTATGGTTGTACTATACTTAATACTGTAATAAATAATTAAAAATCTATATCCATCTATTGTAAATACACATGTTAGTGAGAATTTTCCCATTCACTATTTTAATGATTTTTCATTTCTACTTTTTACAATTTAGATAGATAACATAACATTAAAAATCATAACAGTATTATTGTCATTTTATAATAAAAAAACAAAAAAAAATTATTAATTAAAACATTTATTAATTTGTTTATTTTCTATAAAATCATTTTGCATGAATTGTTAAATGAAACTGTTCATTGATAATATGGCAGTTTTGATGTTTGTTGTATTGCCTATATTAGGAACAAAAAATATCAATAAATTGTCATTTTAAGGTTCACATGTATCAAAAAATGCCAATTTAATGGATGCTGTTAATTGTAACTAGGGTGACATTAATAATCTTTAACTGAGAAAAGACCTGTAAATGTATTTAATAACTTACTACTGCTTAGTTGTTTCAGTTTTTTTCTATTTAGATAAAAGTTTGTGAGAGCTTGTCAAGTGTATTTTGGAAATCCTCTTTTATAGGAAAATTCTTAAGTATTGATGTTGGGAGTTATGGCCATTCTTTTCAAGTTTTTCTATCAATAAAGATGTTTGGCTGTGGGATATGTTGTATCTTTGTTGTTGTTTTTACTTATTCTATTGTTACACACACTGTACATGTTGAGCTTTACAGTTTTAAAATTATTTAATCACCATATTTTAAATGAAGAATTTATAATAATTATAAAAGTTGGCATTCAATTTTAAAAAATACATAAATAATTTTCAGTTGAATTGTAAAAAAATTTTTTATTTTCATTTCAGAATTCACTAGAAATATGTAATATAGTACAATATATTTTTATCTGTCAACAATTTAATATGATTTTTTTATATTTAAGTAATATAATACAACTAAATTTTAATGCTAAATTGATCTAATAGATATAATTTATGGAATATAAATATAACAATTTCTCTATTTATTAAAGGAATAAATGCAAAAGAAAAAAAATTACTGTAAGAGAAATTTCTCATATAGCAATTTATTGAATATTTAAATCTTATCAGAAAACAAAATTTCAGTTTCGCTATTGGCTATTAAGATTGAAAGCAATTTCAAATCAGTACAATAATGATTTTCTTTAAAAAAAATCATTACATGATAAATTAGTTGTATTGTTTGGAATATATTGTAGCTTCTTTATGAATAAAGTGAAATCTCTCTAAAGTGGATACGCCTCCATAACGGACAATTCTCGTGGTCCAATATAGAAACTTTATAATTTCAATACAGCTGACGTTTCATAAGTAGACACAGACTCGTGAAATTACTACAGTTGATGTTTCGATCTTAACGGGCACGGTAGATTCTCACAGAGTCGAGTTTTTGTAGTTTCCGAATCAGTTCCAAAAACTCAATGCTGTATTTCCTGTTGCATACTTAATAAAAGTATACATACGATTCGAGTTTATTTTATAACATTAAAATTTCTATTCTGGATAATTTGCCGTTTTATAAGTTCTCTTAATGTCCCTATTCATATCAGTCTCTGGAAACACGTGCGCCTTTGAGTTAAGACCAGGGGTGGAGTCGAGGAGTCGAATCTTATGGGAGTTGGAGTCGATTTTAAAAAATACTGACTCAGGAATCGTGTATTTTACCGCCGACTCGCCATCCTTGGTTACCAGAAACGTTTTTCAATACACTAACATATATCTAGGAGGGTGAGCGAAAACAGTTCCAGTGATGAAGTGGCTCATCGGAAATCTCCCGGTGGTCGTTCATTATTTTAATATACGTTGTATTTTACTTGAAAAATAAAGTAATAAGCAAAAAACAAGCATTGTCTGTTGTATTAAATTTTAAAAAATTTATTGTAATTTAGACAGTAAGCTGCAGTAGTGCGTTCTGTACAAACAGCAGTCCGGCTTACAGAAAATCCGGTCTGTTACTTGAAGTTTTTAAAAGGATTCGGACGTGAGCCACATGAGACTTTTGTAACTGCAACGTGGACTTTTTTTAACTCTCCGCCCTGTGGGCACTAAGAGGACCTCTTTCTAGCAAGCCCATTGTGGGTTCGGCTAAGCCCACAATGGGACAACCGGGTGGTAAGGGACGGAGCCCGTCATATCCGGGACGGACCATCCCGAAAAGTTCCTGGGGTTTTTCGACCCGTCCGGATTTGATCCCGGGTTTCCCAGAACGGTAGGCTTAGTTTCTTATAGGTTTGGTTTCGGTTTTACTTGTCCGCAACGCTATACGTGGGAGATCTGACGACGGGGTGCCTCCTGGGAGGTTTTGTCCACTTTCGGCCATTGATGGGCCTTAGTCTTTTACTTAAAAAAAAAAAGGAATGTAATATGAAAGTGATATACATATCAAAGTTTATTTTGATAAATGATGAAAGATCGCTTTTTATTTGTTTTACTGATGATAAATGTTTTATGGCTTTTGGAGAGGATCTACGTAAAGGCGATACTCACAAATTTGGTTGTATATTTTATTAGTTAAGTGATGAAATTAGTAATTATTGAAAATTTAATTGTATTGGTATCTGTTGCATCTCAGAACGATCATTTTCAAAGTTAAAATTGATCAAGAACTACCTCCAGCCAACAATGTGTCAAGAGAGACTTTCTTCACTTTCGTTCTTGTCCACTGAAAGATAATGCTACAGAATTACCCTTTGTAATTGATGGTCAGCGCTGATAAAAGTAGGTACCAGCTGCCTTAACTTCTGCTGGTTAGTGTTTAATTGTGGAACCGTAAATGATGATTAAGGGTTCTTTTTCTGTTATTTTCTTTAATCACATTAATATAATTGTTTGATATTTTGAATAAATGGAATTTTGCAAAGTGTACTAATAGTTGATTTTATTGTTATTAATATGAATTGAAATATGTAACGTTTGAGTTTTGTATTAATTACTATTGTAAAATGTTTTATATTCAAAGTCCAGTATTGGCAATTGTGAAGTCTGACGCGACAGTTTTTTTTAATTTTGAACTTTGTGATTGTAAAACGCGCAATAAAGTAACTAAAGATGTCTGTTTCTATATTAGAAACCTTCATATTATTGTAGACCTAAATAAACCTACTCTCTACCATCCTCGTTTGAGGGGCCTCAAAAATAAGTTTTGTTTAGGGTCTCATTAGAACCGCTGCTGTTATTCCGTGTAATGAAATAAACAATATATTAAACTTTTTTATTACTTTCAAATCATATTTTTATTCTTTTAAAGTAATTATTTAAGTAATGATAAAAATATTAATATATTATTTAAAAGAAATAACAAGGTTTCTGTTATCAATTAGAAATCTTTGGGAAATTTCAGTATCGTTATTAAGAATAGTTGTCAAAAATTTTATTTAATTGAATTTTTCAGTCTAAAAATAGCCTATTAAAACTGAAAAAGGTTAAAAATTATTAATACAGTAATTACTAAAAATAATCCTTTATGGAAATTTATTTATTTATTAGCGTTTTGGTAGTTTATAACTCGATGATTACAATAAGTAATGTAATACGCATTTTAATTGGTTGTTATTAATTTAAAATTAAGATAGCTTCGATCACGTGTTTCATAAGTATTTTATTCAAAATTAGTTAAAATCGTTGAGATATTTAAAACAGCTTCCATGCGATAATTCTAATCAAAGTTAAACATTTACAAATTGCTTTTTTATCTTAAATGTTACTTTAATAGTCCTATTTTTACATTCACCTTTAACCATTTCAAAATCAAACAGGGCTCATGTAATAAAGAAGATATAAATTCCCCTCAGTTAATTTTATGCAATTAGTTTTATAAATACATAAATAAATAAAAATATTTATGATATATATTTAAAAAATATATTAAGTACTGCAATACTTTTATAAGTAATGTGTTTCTTAAATTCGAAACCGTTCAATAAGGTTTGCTTTATATTTTAAGGGATGAACTATTATAACAACATAACTGTGCTCCTCTATTATGATTTATACTATATTATCAGACCCAGACAGAGGGACTTTAGATATCAGCAAGGCCTTCTATCTGCGCCTGAATATAGAACTCAGATAGAAGCCCTGCATCAATCTCGTAATATATAAACTTCCCTGCAAAATTGGCCAAATACTATTGTTATTTTTAAAATGTAGCCTCACGCTAGACACATTTTATCTTGTTGCATCAAGACTTCTTGATTTAATATCGATAACTTCCAATAAAAGAGGACACGAAAATACATGATGTAATGTTATCAAAACCTGATTTTTTTTAAAAGATATTCAAAAGAGAACCTTGGTATCAATTAAGATTTGCAACATGTTTCTATCTGGTAGGTAAACAGATAATGGGCTATGTTAAGTGTTACAGGTTATCACGTCTATACCTATATGAATGTCAATGCACGTAATATAGCATAGAGTAGATACTTTGGACTGGAATTACGAGCTATATTTCAAATTTGATAAGACGTTAATTGCACAAAAAGCACAAACGGTAATAATGAGTACACATTTTAGGAGTCATACTATCGATATCAGCCCATTGTGGGTTCGGCTAAGCCCACAATGGGACAACCGGGTGGTAAGGGACGGAGC